ATAAAAGCTGTTCAAAAATAAAACAGGGGTATTAAAGGGAAATTATATAATATATTTTGCCAAGTTGGCAAATTTGGGTGTATCTCAAAAACGGAAAAACTTAACGTTGCTAATTATAAGATACCATAGACAAGTGGGTGTATCTATAAAAGGGAAAAATAATTGGATCTACCTCATAGAAAATATGAACAGGGGGTTATCCCTAATAAACCCTTATTTTAATTATGTATATCTTCTATTAATATACCATTATATTAATTAGGGTAAATTCCATTTTCACCATTTGTACTTTGGTTCGGTATCACTTTACCTCATTTTATTTTCAATTGCATCGATTTGCTTCCATGTACTTGAAAAATTGTCTCAATGTGACCATTGCGGTTAGTTTTCAGACAGTTGACCTTAACACCGTTTGAAAATTACAAAAAAGTCACCCCTCCCAGTTCAAATAATTATTAAATAGAAATAAAAAAAATTGTGGCTGGCGTAGTGGACTATGTTTTCTCGTTGTCTTTAATTTTTTTATTATTTTTTTTTTTGTTTTTTAATAATTATTTAAATTGGGAGATGTGACATTTTTGTAATTTCAGAACTTAGATCAAACGGTGTTAAGGTCAAATGTCTGACAACTAACAACGAAGACCAAATTGCGACAATTTTCAAGTACATGGGGGCAAATCGATGCAATCGAAAGTAGAAAATGGCAAAGTGATATCGAGCCAAACTACAAGGGGAAAGTGAAATTTACCCTATTAATTCTGATTCTGATTTTGTTTTATATGTACTTTCCACTCTATAGAAACGGAGATGAGATTTTCACATTGTACCACTCTTCGTTCGATTCTTTCATATTCGTTGGATCATTTTTCCGCGTGATAGGTACATTATTTGGATAAAAGAATTTTTAGATATTTAAAAAGAGAAATTGACTAATTTAAAAACAAAAACATCTCAAAAATTTCCACACAATGAATAATAACTCAAATGTTAATCCAAATTGAGAGTTAATGATTTAAATTCATTGTCACATGAAAATTTCATCCAAATTAGTTCAATGATTTTTTTAAATTATAAAATTGAAATTTTAGCTCAAGTTCTTTTCAAATGCAACACTAATTCAACTACATAATTCAACTACAGTAGAACCTCGATAAATTAATAATCTCGCTTAAATAATACATTTTCCCGGTCCCAACTCGGGGACAACGTGCTAAAATAATAATTCGCTAAATTTATAAGATAATACACATTCTGGAATTTGAAGAAGGCCCATATAATATATTAATTAATATTGCATACAAATAATTCTTAAATTACATGATATAATACATATTTTATAAATCTATGAAGGCTCAATAAAATATATTTTAATTGTCGCTTGTTTCTCGATGAAGTTCACGTTACCATCAATCTCATCCCTCACTTTTCTTAATATGGCTAGAACTTTTGGTAAAGTTTTCTCATAATTCAACAGAAAATTGTTCAATATCATTATTGCTTTAAGAGCTTCGGTTCATGAAACGGGCTCTATAGTGCATTGAACTAATGATACAACGAATAACATACATGTAATTTTTTTTAAATGTATTTATTGAAAATAATAATAAAAATAATTTCATAATTTCATAAATTAATAAGTTAATATTTCACTAAATTAATGGAATTTTGATGGTCCCAATTGTATTAATTTATAGAGAATTAACTGTATATGCTTAGAAATAGATTATGCAATAATAAATAAATAAATAATTGAATAAAACTTAACCACCCTAATTGTAATTAATCCCTACTCTTACCTATGTAGCACGGAAACTTCAACTTTTTACTGAATCATTATTTCGAATACGTTTCGTGTCCGATACTCGAAAACACTTGCCGGGCACATTATGAGCCATTTTGCTATTTTTTTAAGTTAGAAATATTTTGAATAGCAAATTTCCAACTCTTCTTCTTTTACTTCTCTAATTATTTACATGATTTAATGATTAATGAAAAATTAATAGTTAATAATAATATATATATTTTTTAAATATACTTGTATGGAAATGTATAAAAATAACTTATAAATAAATAAAATCTTATATACGTTTATATAGCATATTTATAAATATAACCTTATATTTTTAATATTTACATATTTCTTCCAAAATCCCGTGTCCCCATATTTTGGACATGCCGTTTCCCGTGTCAGTCTTTCCATTCTTCTTAACGTCGTTTTCATGTCCGTGCTACATAGTCTCTTACTTTCCACACAATTTGGATTAAATTTAAATTTCCCCTACCTTATAATTTAAATTTAATTAAAAAAAGTATATAAATTTCTAATTAAAAAATATTAAAAATTTCACCCAACAAAAATTGAAAAATACTATAAATGTATTTAAATTGTGTACACCACTTATGAGTTATGATCAAGTTAGAGCCCCATTTGGCAATTTAGAATCTTTTGATAAAAGCCAAAAACACCTGAAACACTCTTCTTCGTCTTCTACTTCGTCCCCCATCCCCAATTTCCAATAATTAGGGTTTCAATTCCGATAATCTCTGATTCCTTTCTTGCCAATTCAATCAGCATCTACCTTTACCTCGTCATCCTCGAAAAGTATAACATTGAAAATTGAATTATTCCCCCCAACAAAAGAATTAATTGACGAAGGAAAAAGGAAGAAGAGAAGGATATGGCGGATGTGTTGCTTTGGCTACTGTTCTTCTTCACACTTATTGCTATTCTCATTATCATCGTTTTCCAGGTTATTATCGTTAATTGTTATCTGCTGTTTGTTTGCGCAAAGATTTGTACTTTATTTCGGATTTTTAATTTAATTAATTCATTTTGTTTTTTCATTGAATGCTGATGAATTTGCCTTGGGAAATTTGATTGCTTGGGTTGATTAGATGAGAATCTTAGTATGATTCATCTGCAGAAATTGAGTTTATTTGTGCTGTAATTAGTTCCCTTGCTTATTATATGAAGCTGAGCTATTTAAATATTAATTTAGTAATTAAAAATTGTTCGATTTGAGAAAATATTTATCTAATTATCTGTGGCAGTTTGGTAAAGTTGACCTCTTTAAGTGTACCAATCGATACATAACTTTCGGCAGGCGTTGATTCTGATTTCGATGATGATGGTACAAAATATAAATCGAATGTGCAATTGTAATCATGTTAGTTTTCCGACATATTACAGTACATGGTGTTTCGGTGCTTCTAATCAAAGCCTTAAAAAAAAAAACGAAAAAAAGGGTTCCGTTTTATGTAAATTGCATCTTATCGGGATAACACTAATTGACGTATTGTGCAGCTCATGTGTTTGGCGGATCTTGAGTTCGATTACATTAATCCTTACGACACGGCATCTCGAATAAACAATACGGTGTTACCAGAATTCATCACGCAAGGAGTTCTATGTCTCCTCTTCCTTGTAACGGGGCATTGGGTTATGTCGCTGTTCTGCGCTCCGTACCTCTACTACAATGTGCGATTGTAAGATCTCTCTCTTTTTGCTCGTGCGTCAAAATTTCACTTGAATTTGTCTCAAACAAAATTTCGGCGTTTGTGCCTAATCAGCATGATTGATATCGCAACTCAACATTTCTTGAATTCACTCTTTTATGTATACATATCGAGACGATCCCTTTAAATTTTAAAAGGAAAAAAACTACATTTTGTGCGTATTTCGCCTTTCAAATGTCATCTTGCACGTAAGGTCAAGCTGGTAATTAGCATGGAAAAATATAGCATAAATCATTTTTTTAACAATTTATATTTAATTTTGATCGAATTTCATCCAAGAAGAGACGATGGATAATTCTTATCCATTTAATTTGGCAACATATTTATTTCGTACCCCTTCGTTTCTTGTGAAAAAGGGTTAACTCTTTGAGTGAAAGAGCAATTGGGCTTACAACTAAAGGCGGTGTATAATTCTTCTCGATTCTCATACAATATAAAATGTGTATTCAGTTGAGTTGTTATTTTATTGAATAAGGTACCTTCGACGAGAGCACCTAATGGATGTAACGGAGATATTTAATATGCTCAATTGGGAAAAGAAGCAAAGACTTTTCAAACTTGGTTATACCATACTTCTTATCTTCATGTGCTTGTTCTGGTAAGCAAAATCGTGCGACACGTTTTTTTATTTTTTTTTTATTTTTCGCCTTTTAACAAGTTCAGGGTCTTAAAATAATAAATAATAACATCCTTATTGACAATTAATCTGCTTGGTGTAGGATGATTTACAAAGCACTCGAAGAAGACGAGCATTCGTTGTAGCTTTCTGCTCGTAATTGGGCCAGCTGTGGTTGTCGTAATTTACATCTCAAATGGTTAAGTATTCAAAGTAGGCTCCTATAATCTGCAGGTTTGATTCTTAACCTGTAATCAATACTGTACGAGTTTTTCTAAATTATTATTATTTTTTATTTATTTTTAATGAAATAAATTATGTTAGTGATGTTCGTACTGATTTCGTGGGTCTGGTGGGCTGATGGGTTCGGGATATGAAGGCCTTGGGCCACGTGTCATTTTTGGCTACAATAGTCAAGATTCACAACAAAACATTCGGACTCCGGTTCTTTTCTTTTTGATTTTTTCTTTTCTTTTTTTTTTTAGCATTTTTAGCTTAAAATTTGGGTTGGGAGGTTGAGGAAAATAAAAATCTAAATTTGATTTTTTTGCACACTTGAAAGATTTCTAGTGAATAGAATAAACTATCATCATTAACTTATAATAATCAATTTATGGTGCGCTGTGAATGATTTATTTTGTTTCACTGATGTAAGGGGCTGATAAACTTTTTTGAGTGTTCAAAGTGCTAAAATAACACATTTGAAGGGGGCAATGTGGAATTAAGCCCAAAATCAATACTATTAATATTATGTATATTCTATTATAAGTTAATATTGAAATGGAATTTTTAATTTTGGTTGCCGATTTCGATCTCATAATTTTCAATTCTAGAACGATTTTTCAATTTTTTTTGAAATTTTCATTTTCATTTTTCTGGGACACAATTAGAAGTATTTAGTTACCAATAAATTAGAAATTTTCGGAATTTGCTAATTTCAATCTGGTTTGTTCGATTTTCATCCCTATATCCAACGCACATTCAAATATTCTTACCTAATTAGCTTTATGTTTACTTTAAAGCCCCTCATATTCTCGTATTCTGTAATATTGCTTTAATTTATCAATCCCTACTTCCTAGATCCCTTGAAAACCTGCAAGTAAAAAGACGACATTTCATATCATTCTTGGACCTAATTTTATTCTCGAAAAAATTCTAAGAATGTTCGTCGATCTTCTCCATTTCTCTATATGAGTTAGATTTTACATCCACTTTCAAGATCATTAATTATTCTCTCTATCCCTATACATCTATTTCTTAATCTATATCGGCCTTTTTTTGTTGTTAGATAAGATTAAATAATTTTACAAAATTCCAATTGTATAATTAATAATTGGACTAAAGAATGTTTAAATTAAGTTAAAAACTCATTTTTCCATAATTGCTGACAATTTAGAGGACTAACAAAATAATAAACAAGGTTTAGTTATTTAGTTAGTCATAAATAATTATGCCAATCAAACAACTCCGATCCTTAGGAACAAGAAATTATGAATTAATTTAAAAAAAAAATCAAAATTCCACCGATTCCGTGACATTCTGAAATTGGAATGGATTTTTGACTATTTTTTTTGGAATGGAGATTGTAACACATTTTTTAATTTCCGGAAAAAAAAAATTGAAAAATTTCCGAAGAAGCCATTTCCGATCAATTTCGTCTAATTTTCACCTCTTATTTGACCTGTTCTATTTTCATCCTTATGCCCAACGCACGTTCAGACGTTCTTACATAATTAGTTTACTTTAACGCCCCTCGTATTCTCATATTCTATACTATTGCTTTAATTTATGGATTCGTACTTCCTAGATCTTGATTCGAAGATATTAAAAGGTATCTCCCTTCCAAACCTGCAAGTACAAAAGGTGACATTTCATTTCATTTTTCGACCTAATTTTATTCTTAGAATGTTCATCATATATTTTCGATTTTTCTATATAATTTAGATTTTAGCATCCACTTTCAAGATGATTATTATACCTATCCCTATACATTTATTCCTTAACCTAGCTATTAGAGGTTTTTTTTTAGTTGATGGATAAGATTAAACAATCGTACAAAATCCTAAATAAATTAAGTTTAGAATTCATTTTCCCACAATTTACTTATTCATAGCTAATTATTCCAATAAAAGAACTCCTTAGGCAACAAATTATTTAAAACACTTATTAGAAAAATAAATTAAAACACAAGATAGTGGAACTTTTTGACATGTAGATACTACTTTGCTCACTTATTATATATAATCACTGATTAACTAAAAAAATCCATCTGATACGGATTGCCACTAACTAAAAACAATAAAAACTTACTAATTAATTTTACGAATAAATTCATTAGACATTTTTTTCAAAATGAAAAACTGAATAATTTTGCTAATTCGATTAGAGAAATAAATACTAGCAAAGGTTTATCGAGGTCTAGCAAATATGTTAATAAAATATAAAATATATAATTTAAAAAAAAATTATGTAAGAGATAATTTGAATTGAATATTAGTAGAAATTAAATATATCGAATTTCACATATTCGTGTGTGGGCATATGCGTACACGATAATGATAAATACAAATACAATTTTGCGGAGAATATTCACAAATTTGACGAGAGGCACTGAACTGTATGATTTACAAGCTGTTATATATTATATAGAAGACAGAAGTATAAATTTACCAATGCATCTATATAATTGGCTGCAGATTTTTTATGCCAATATATATATATATATATATATATATATATATATATATATATATATATATATATATATATATATATATATATATATATATATATATATATATATATATATATATATATATATATATATATATATATATATATATATATATATATATATATATATATATATATATATATATATATATATATATATATATATATATATATATATATATATATATATATATATATATATATATATATATATATATATATATATGGCTTTCTTTTTAAAATAAAAAAAGTTACTTAATTTCTAAACAACTTCAAATGCTTTGAAATTGACAAAAATGTTGGGTTTCATACATAAATTGAAAAGACATATCTGGCCTTTGCACCAATTGTTTTTTGTTTGAAATTATTTTATTTTAGTTTTTATAAGCCAACCAAAAAAGGTATAAATAAATAGTTCTATTTTATATATAAAAAATTAAGATGTTAGAATCATTCATCCATCAAATTCACCCAGGATCATATGATAAATATTATCCAATTTTCAATACACATCTTAATCAATTTAATTTGTATTCAAAATATTAAATTGATTATTAATGGAACCCTTCTAGATTAAAAAAAAAGTGTGATGAATATATTGTTAAAACTAAATCAGAGGCGAAATGAGTCGAACTATAGAAAATTGATACGAGTTCAAGAACTCGAATCGTAACTTTAAAGCTCGAACTCACCGCCAAATTTGCAAAGATCAAATTTAATTTTAAAAAAATTAAGCATTATTATATATTTGTATTTCTCAGTTTTTTATTATTTGTAGTATTCATTTTTTTTTAAATATCTTTGCAAAATCGAATATTAAAATTTAAAATTGAAGGACCACAAGTATTATTGCATTCTTTCTTTTAAAATCAGATAGATATCCACCAATTTTTATTTTTTATCTTTTGTTGGGAAATCATTTATGTTTATAATTTATTATTCAGGTATTTTATTTTCAAGTGCCCCACCAATCAACACTTGGAGGTATAGATAATTTGCTCCTTTATTTCCTTGTCTTTGTTCTATAAAGTATCACTTCACTTTTAATATTTTTCATGTGTGGTTTGGTTTAAACAAGCAATTTTAATTTCCCATTAAATACTTAAATTTTCATCTCGTAAATTAAATACAAAAATATTAAATTTTATTCAATTTGTTTTCTATAAATAATGATGAAAAAATAGGTTAACTCCATCCCTTGTCAAGATATTTGCCACTTTCGATTTTTTCGTGCGTGTTAGGAACACAACAAATATGCATGTATTATAATAAAATTAAAATAAAAATAAAAATATAGCAACTAATAAAAATACCCTTACTTATTTCTCAATTAATTAATTCTTTTTCAAAGGACAAATATTGAGAAAAGTGAAAATTAAAGGATTAAATCCTAATTTAGCAAACAATTTGGAACTAAAAAATGGTTTTTCGATTCGTCGTCGTCGTTTAGAGCTACAATTTTCTTTAGTCTACTTTCTAGTAATTTTAAGTTCATTAGAATTAGGCTTTAAGTATATTATTCCCATTTAGGCTATTTTTCGTATTTTTGTAGTTTTTTTCACTAGTAATAGGACTTTAGTTTTTTATTAGGATCAACTTTAAGCTTCTATTTTTTTGCCAAACAATATTACAATGAACTAATGAAAATATGTATTTTAACAAAATATGATGATAAATTTATGAAAATTTAGTATTTAAAAAACTATGATGGTAAACTTATGCAATTGGCATATAATTTCTTCTAAAGCATGGCAATGAACTTCCCAAAATTAACTAAAAATTGGTAGTGAACTTCAAAAAATTGTCACTTAACTTCCAGAAATGGACGGTTAACTTCTGAAATATGGTCGAATTTCGGCAGTGAACTTTTGAATTTTTGAAAAATCGGTAGCGAATTTATGAAAAACCGATAGTGAACTTCCGACAATACACTTTAAGTACTGCAAGACACATCCTCCACTGTTCACGAACGCATCTCGTACTAATTACATAAGCGTTTGCTTAATTCCACTAGACGCTAAGCTAATAAAAATGTTCCGATATTTTGAAAAAAAAAAATTATGGCGTGTGAGAAACTTTTAGCTTATCGAAAATTTTGTGTCTCCTTGTTAATATGAGGTATTTTAACTAATTGGCAATTTCGTTTTATCACTTTTAACTAATCTAGTTTTCCCTTTGGATAGAATCTGATTTTTTATTTATTTTTTTGTTCGAATATGAATTTGGAAACATTTTTTTTTTCAAATGTATCTTTTTATCACACTATATATGCTATATGCTTTGTCCATCTTTTGCATTCTCATCACGCACCATACATGTGTATATATATATATATATATATATATATATATATATATAGATATATATATATGACGAAGCTTGCACTACTCTACTAATTACATAAGCAAAATTATCTCCCAACAAATCAGAATCAGAGAGAAAAAAAGAGGAAAAAGAAAAAAAAAAAAAAAAGCCGACCAAAATCTTGCAAGAATCCATGGAAAAAACATCATCGGAATCAACCAATCACAGCTCACCCCTTTACGCAGAGCTCAAAACCCAATGGCGAATCACAATCCCTCTAATCGCAATGAACTTCACGTGGTTCGCCAAACTCGCCATCACCACCGCCTTCCTCGGCCGCCTTGGCCCGCTGCCCCTCGCCGGAGGCACCCTCGGCTTCACCTTCGCCAACGTCACCGGATTCTCCGTCCTCAACGGCCTCTGCGCCGCCATGGAGCCCATCTGCGGCCAGGCATTTGGCGCCAAAAACTACAAGCTCCTCCACAAAACACTGGTTATGGCCACCTCTCTCCTCCTCTTGGCATCGATCCCCATCGCCTTTCTCTGGCTCAACGTTGAAAAGATTCTCGTAAGCTTCGGCCAACAGAGAGATATATCGATCGTGGCCAAGAATTATTTAATCTATTTCATGCCGGATTTAGTTGTGACCTCGTTTCTATGCCCCCTCAAAGCTTACTTGAGCACGCAGAACGTAACTCTCCCGATCATGTTCGCCTCCACCATGGCGGTGGCTCTACACATTCCGGCGAACTTGTTTCTCTCTAGGGCGAAAGGGCTCGAAGGAATTGCAATGGCCGTGTGGATAACCGATTTCGCGGTGGTTGTAGTGCTCGGATTGTACGTTTTAGTGGTGGAGAAAAGGAAAGGGGGTTGTTGGAAGGAAGGGGGGTGGTGGGCCCAAGATAGATCCGATTGGATAAATCTTCTCAAGCTAAGCGGGCCGTGTTGTGTCACCACTTGCCTCGAGTGGTGGTGCTACGAGATACTAGTCCTCCTGACCGGCCGCCTCCGGAACCCTAAACGGGCCGTCGGAACCCTAGCCATCGTTTTGAACTTCGACTACTTGCTCTACTCCGTCATGCTGTCGTTGGCCACGTGCGCGTCAGTGCGCGTGTCCAACGAGCTGGGCGCGGCCCGGCCCGAATTGGCGGCCGGGTCGGCCCGTTTCTCGCTCGGTTGTGGCGGGTTGATGGGCCTTGCGGGCGGGGCGGTGATGGTTGGGTCGAGAGGGGTGTGGGGGCCGTTGTATAGCCGTGACGCTGGGATTGTTGGGAGCGTC